TGAAAAGGCACGAGGCCTTAGTCTTCCTTTCTTTCCAGCGCCGCCTCCATCGAGATAACCCACCCACGCCGAGGCTGGACCTCGGCACCTTGTCAGGGGTTACACCCAGCCCCTCCATGAAATGCCTTCTTCCCACCCAGCTCTTGGCACCGGGAAGGCGAGGCAGGTCTCATTTTTCTTTAGTACCTGAGAAAGGCACATAGGGGCAGTTGTTCACTTCCCTCTCATCATTCCTCATAGATACAAAAGGACGACACAGGACGTTTTTGTCAGCACCCTGATCCGCACTGGGGCAGTAAACTGATGGGGCAGCTCATCCAGATAAGGATGCTCGGACCTTCTGCGTCCACACTGAGCAGGCGGGGTCAGGTCACCGACTTCCTCCCCTGTGAGAGACGCCAGCTCAGGGGAAAGCTGGGGATTCAGACAAAGAAGCCGGATACTGACAGACCTCCCCTAAATACTCATCTTCACCTCTTGGAATAAATGTGACCACTGACCCCAGCCCGGGGCAGTTGTCCCTCCCTGGCAGCTGCCCACCTGCTCCTCTCAGGCACGGACGTGGACTTCTTTTCTACAAAAAATCCTCACTTTCCTATTAAAACGTCCCTTTTCCTACTTTACAAGTGTTCGTGGATTTTCATTTTGCATCTCAGGACGGGTCTCTAATCTTAGATTTATGGATCTAAAGAACCAAGGATTTTGGGTCTGGTGGGTGATGTGGTGGTTAAGGTCACTGGACTCCCACATGGTTGACTGTAGTTCGAGTTCTGGACCTGAGAGCTTGCTTTCTCACTCCCCGCGCCATCCCTCTCTGGTCAGATATAAATAAATAAATAAACAAATAAATAAATATGAAAAGTTAAAAAAAGTGGATTTTTTTTTTTTTGGAGAGGTTTTTGCTGTAGGGCGCATGCGCTCGCCAGAGAGACAGAGAGAGACAGAGAGACAGAAAGTGAGAAATAACCCCGGGGGATGGCCACTCTGCCATTCCTCCTCCTCCATTCTCCTCTTGAGATCTTGGGCATGCACGCACATGTGCCCACACAATGTGGACCAACTCTCCCATCCTCTGACAGGACTGACTGTCTCCTTAAGTAGGGGAAAGAGCGAGGTTTCACTGTTAAGGTGGCTTTGGTAGGTGACAATAGACCTGTATGGAAGTTCCAATGTGTGTAAATGCTGTGTAATACGTGTGTGATGTAGGAGGTGTGTGACCACATGCGGACAGTGCCCGTTACCATTTTATTGTCTCTGTGTTTCAAATCAACCCCGTCCTGCCCTGCTCTGTGATACTACAGAAAACTTCTGTCCACATAAATGCCTGTTTGCACATGTTACGGCAGCTCTATTCATAGTTGTCAAATACTAGAAGACCCCAAATATCATTCAATGAGTGGATAAACAAGCTGTAACACATCCATGCAATGGAATACTAACAATATTTAGCAAAAAAAGGAACAAACACAAAATTCAGGCAAATTTCTAAGTCATTATGACGTGTAATAGAAGCCAGTCTCAAAAGACCATACTGCCTGATTCCATTAATATGACATTCCTAAAAAGAGTCCTAAAAAGATTCCTATATTGATAGACAATAAATAAATGTTTTCTGGGGCAAGGGGTATGATGAGGTGA